TTTTAAAAAAGAAAACTGATGGTAAATAAAACTCCTTTGATTCAAAATGGTTTATTCACACAAATTTAATAGGATATATCACAATTGTTTGGTCCATAAATATTTAGGGGAAATAATTTCTATACAATGCATTTTTCAATAAAACAAAGAAAACATGGACAACTTTGCTAGACCACTTAACTGTACTATAAACACGAAGCTCAATATATAAGATTATTGAATTTATCAACTATATCCGAAAGAGTGCACAACTGCTTTCTATGACATGTTTGTCCCCTCTACCAGGTTACACCATAAAAAGAGTTTCAGAAATAAGAGGTAAAACAGTACAAAACTAGTGAGGTGTCAAAAGGGTTTAAAACAGTTAATTTAACAAACAACACATATATATCCTGATTTTTTTTCCACAAGCTTACTCCCAAGTTATAGCATAAGGCACATTGTAGAACTGAGTTATAAGAAGTCTACTTAATAAAGTAGATCTATAGTACCATATAGTTGTTCTGTCAAAGAACAAAATTTATATGTATCAATTTTTGTACCTGTAAAAGTGTATTAATAAAGATCTCAGCCTTTCCAAGGTTGTTTGGTCTGGTTAGTGGTAAATGCCCATAAGGTAATAGTAACATGAAAAGTCCAAGATTGGCACCTCAATCCTAACTATATCAACTTGGAAGTAAATTCCACTCATGTCAATTGAACATCCTTCCTTCTAAATGTGCTTTAGGTCAGCAGCCTTAAGCCTTCTAGAAGATCATGACCACACTGGCTAAATATATAACAACAAAGACACATTTTCTCCATTACAGTGTTAACATCTCTTCCATTGTTTTTTCTTTAAAAAATAAGCTACTTTTCTGTGCTAATTTTCTAAAAACCCTGAGCAAAAGTTAGAATAATGCACTTTAATATGGGCAGTGAACTGTCAGTATGTATCCACTCATTATTGGAGATCAAGCCCCCCCCCACTTTTAAATAATCAATTAAAAAGATTTTAAATAAAATAAGAGAGGTATGATCAAAAGGAAAGGGGAAGAGAATAAAGAGAAGATGCATAAAATATAAAACATTGTGCAAAAGTTATTCTTAACAATCTATCCAAAACATGATTTTGACAGTTTTTGGAAAGTCTCCCCTGTTTAATTAGTGTTTTATCAGAAGAAAGGATACAAATGAACATTCACCACTGCCCAGACCATTCAGACTTTAGCTTAAATTAAAAAAAATGAACCACTTGCAAATGTAAACTAGGAAAGGTGTTTCCAATCAGCAATGCATCCACAAGGCTTCTGAGTTTGGCAGCTTCCGATAATTTCAATTTTCAAAAGGATTTTGTTTTTAATGTAAAGTGTTTTCTCATATTGGAAGAGAAGAGCTTTTGTTTGCCTTTTTAATGAAAAAAAACGGAGGTAGGGGGAGCGGTCACCATCCAACATGGAATTAAACTTGTATGCAGGGTAATCCAAATAATGTCTAATCAAAAATTAATTCCATTGGGTTCAATGGAGCTGATTTTCAGTCACATTAAAACTACATTTTTTAAACTCCACTGAATTATGCTAGAATGACCAAATGTGGCTGTGAGTCTGTTCGGGCAGTATGTCTACCTCTGTATGTGTTATTTTGTGTATTAATTATAAATTCATACACACAAATTAACCCTAGGTGAAGTTCCATGTAGCTAGCGTATTACAATATATATATATTTACTTGGAAATAAGCTCCCAGTGAGTTAAAACAGGCAGACTTACAATATGACAGAAGCACAGTATTATTCACATATTTGCTGAACTTGTCTTTTGAAGTTAATACATTAAAATGGCCAGCATTTACCCAGGTTAGAAAAAAATGCAAGTATGTTCAAAACATCCAAGAATAAATATATTTAAGTAATTGTTCAAACAGTTTAAGAAATTATATTTTGCCTATTTCCATCTTCTTCTGAAAATGGTAGAAAATCTGAACAGTTACTTTAATAATGGAAATGCATGTTTTAAAGACAAACGGTAGTAATTTTGTAAAGATTATGATTATTTTTCTAGATTTATAGTACTCCACTTTGTTCTACTGAAATGTAAAAGTGTTTAATATTCACATGCTGGATTTATACTTATTAAGGGGGAAAAAAACCAGTATCCAAGACAGATACTATAATGGCTGCAATCCCCAAGCCACTAGGCTCAGAGTAAACCCTCTTGTTTAGATATAATTAATATAGAGCAGAAAGCATTACCATTTTAAGAGGGCAAAAATTTTAGCCTCGAACTACTGATAATATCTAGCAAAAATTATGTACTTTGAAATCTTTTTTATTTCCATAGGACATTTAGTAGATATTTAATTCTTCCCTTTAAATCAACAGGATTATTATTTAATCTTGGGTATGTTAGTGTTTTGCTGTCAGTCCCACTGCAAACCAGATGAAGCTGGAAACTATAGTGTTTGTTCAGTTGAATAGGGATTAGCCCCAAGCAAATGTTTCTAGGATCAATGTGTTTTAGAAAAAAGCTTGTGTAATATACACATAACCAACATTCATACTGTCTGAGGCTGTTCTATTTTCCAGCACAATTTACTAGCCTGCAGGACAGAAAGTTAACGATTGACATTCATAAATGGCCTAAGTTAGCTGAAAAGTTAATGTAGTCTAAATGTTATTCATCATATGTATGTAGACCTAGCTGGGGTATTACAAATCCTGAAAAATAATGTAGCTAAAATATGGAATAAGTGATAGGGTTCCTATAACACACTAAGCCATACTGTTTAATTTGGACTTAATATGATATGTGAGGTTTGTTGTGATAGATTGTAAATGAAGAGGTTGTCACTTAACTAACTTAAACCCAATAAGTTACAATTTATTCACTAAACAATGGTTTAGTATGATACATGAATCCTGTTAATTCCTTGGTCACTCAAGCTCTTATACAGATAGTCCTCGACTTACAACAGTTCGTTTACTGATCATTCAAAGTTACAATGGCACTGAAAAAAAAATGACATGTCAATTTTTCAGTTACAATCTTTATAGCATCCCTGTGATCATGTGATCAAAATTCAGATCCTTGGCAGCAGGTTCATATTTATGACTTTTTCTGTGTTCCAGGGACATGTGATCATATTTTACAACCTCTGACTGGTAGTCAATGGGGAAGCCAGATTCACTTAACCACCGGGTTACTAACTTATCAACTGCAGTGATTCACTTAATAACTGTGGCAAGAAAAGTTATAAAGTGGGACAAAACTCACTTAACAAATGTCTCACTTAACAATAGAAATGTTATGCTCAGTTGTGGTCATAAGTCAAGGACTACCTGTATATAATAAATTTTCAGAAATAAATTGCCTTTTGTTTTAAAGGATATTGATGGGCTAGAAATGGCAGAAAATGCAGAAAATAGAATTTCACATTTAGGCTATCAGTTTTTATATACCTGAAGAGGCTTTTAAACATTATAGCATAAAGCATCATATAGAAGCCAGTTAATAAATGAAGAATTCACATGTTTTCTGGGGCTAGAACCTATTATTACCTGGGCATACTACTCCCTCGCCTGTTTTTCCCCACCCATATTAAGCCTAACAAAAACTGTGCAAACCTCAGTCTCAAAACAAAACTTTTACAACTTTTTTGTATGCATAGAAAATGAAAGAAAGTACAAAATGTAAGTTTCTGAATTGCAAATTGAGGATTAAAAATCTGAAATGCAAATCATTCCTGGGCAGCCTTTCAGTATGAAATACTGGCATTGATTAAGCATGGTCAAAGCATGTTGGCTTCTAAAAATTAATTGTGGAAACAGTCCCAGACAGCTGGGCTAGGCAGATCACAAATATCTCTGACATAATTATGTTAATACTCAATCCATATGTGATTTAATTAGGTGACCTGTATATGAGCGAGACTCCTCTATAGGACATGTAGTCTGCCTTGTCTCAGGATAAATAAAAACAACTGTCTTAACACACATCTGTAACTGATGTGCAATAACATTATAAGAACTGATCTCAGAGCATGATAGTTTGATTCTTTAGGCTCTTCCTACTCAGTGGTTCCTTCTATATATCCCAATGTGTATATTATTTGAAATTTGTGTTCTTTACAACTTTTTTCTTCAGGCTATGCTGGTTCCTTGTAAGTGGCAGGTCAGTCATATAATTTGATGCCAAAAGCAACTACCACTAGCTTGGCATGCCAACCCAAGTCACATCATGACACGGTAGAATGCAAATTGAGAAGGTTTTGTACATGGCAAACATATCAAAGACAGCTTCCAAATTACAGGGAACCACCATAGAATAAAGAAAGCAAATCACACAGATCACCTGACTTAGAACAAATATCCTTATTGATCCATATTTGACAACTGGCCAATACCTGCTTTTAAAGTTGTATGTCTAGCTTGATTTAGAAGTATAGTCCACTGAACTTAAGGGTCGAGTAATGTGATATGGAAAAGGAACTGTTATCTCAAGTGGCATATTTTATGGTGTTAAATATTTTTAGATTTTCTGCATCAGATACCAGAAGGGCTTGGTCAGCCTTGCACAGCAGGATTTCCTTATAACTGTATGTTTTTTATGATTCAGATGCCAATCATTTGAAGAAAATAAACACTAATCTATTTATTTTGAAATACAGTTTTCTGATTAATATATCAACCATTTTGCCCCCAGTAAATTCTGGAAATAAGGAACATACAATTTTAAGAGGCACTTAAACCTTCCGTTTAATTAGGCAATGATTAAAAGAAAATCCAACAACAATTTATAGACAAGTTCATGTTGCATTATAATAGACTTCTATTACTGCAAACTCATTTGCCAAGTGGTTGTGGGTGCTACACACCAAGTTGGTTTTCCCAAATATATTGTGGTGTTGTTTATTTTTTTAAAAAATGTTGCAAATAATATTAATAGTAATTATAATCATATAATGGAGAAAGAAGAGGAAGAAGCAGAAGTAACGAATAAGAAGAATTTTGAAATCAAATGTTAGAAAATATTTGTTAAGGTAGTTTGTGAGGGGCTCGTGGAATCGTGGCTGTCCATGTTAGAGGTCACTGATGATACTACAGTGATAGTGGGATTGGTCAGGTCTGTTAAAGTGGTTGCAGTGCCGGGTGGAGTGAGAGCGCCGCTGTCTGCTGAGGGCGGTGCCGGAAGTGACGTGCCATCAGCTTTATCAACACCCCCATTCTCCTGTCGCAAAAGATTCCTTCTGAATTTGGCTCTTGCGTTTTGGAACCAAACCTGCAAACCAATCCCAATTGATTTCTTTACCAACGTTATCTTTTGTTTTTAACTGTCTTTTTCCCCCTGTCTTTTTCACTTCTTCCTACATGTGTTTGCATTTTTAAGGATGGTGGGCTTTTTGTTTTACCTTTCTTTTCCTTCCCCCACATGCACTGATCACACTTGCTGCTATATTATCTGGGGACTCTTTCAATGATAATTCACTAAGACTATCAAATAATCCTTTTAATGGGCACTTATGGTTGTCTTTGTTTTTCACTTGTGCCGTAACATCTCAGTGTAATAAATATTCCACTAAAAACTCTTATGATCATTTAAAAACATGGAAAGTATTATTAAAGAATTCATGCACCACTTTTCTTATGTGGTTTCTGTGTGTCCTATATCAAAGCTGAACTAGTTATGTTGAGATCACTAATCTCTGATATACAGAGTTGCACTTAAATTCCTTCCACTCATTTTTCTTGGCTTCAATGGAATTGGCCCACAAGTAATGATCTAAACCATTTAAAGGTATTATATATTATGGCCAGAACCCTGTATCTGTTAAAAATATTGTAACTTCTTCCAGAATTATTGGGTTTTATATTTCAACTATGTTAGGAAACATTCACATCTTACAGAGCAATCCAAAAATAACAAATTAAAGCACTTTACATACAACACAAATCCCATGTGATGTATTAATTGCTGCACTGCACTGCTTCAGAATTCAGTAGTGGGAATTAAGTCTATGAATGTTCTCTATGCAGTCCTCCAGAAAATCTTCAATGTATAGTGTTAAATCAGCTTGCTAGTGACACTATTAGGCCAAAATGTTTTCTTTCGTATCATCTTAGTGTTCTAGTATGATGCAGTATAGCAACAAATACTCCCATAGGATTGTTGACTGTATATAATAAAACTCAGTTCAGGTTGACACAGAGGACTCATGAGGTTACTTCTGGCTAATAAAAATGGAGAAATGCAGTAAAATAGATTATTTGCCTTACATTCAATATCCAATTACTGTTTTAATTACAAAGGATACCAGTGTATTTTACATATTTCCCATCCCAATCAGAGCAAACAAAATTGATTCTCCTTCAGTCCTGAGAGCAGTAGCTCTGGAGGGAAGCATAATTGCCCACTTAAATATACCTTCAGTACCCTTAGAGGATAAGATCTGAATATGGAAATGAATACCTATTTATCTATTGGAGGAGTCAGCTAATTTAAGATAGCAGAAGGAAAATGTATGGGATCTGCAATTTTTAAATAGAGAGAAAGGAATGGAAGGAAGACATTTATAGCAGAGGCTTCTTACCTGCAGAACTCTCTTAGTTAGTCCAGTCTTCTGGGCTAACTGCTTGAGGTCCTTAGCATCTGGATTATGATTAATAGCAAAGTAGGACTTCATGGTACGGAGCTGGTGATGTTTAAAAGAAGTACGCATACGCTTAGTCTTCTGAGATGGGGGATAAGGCTGCTGGTCTCTGTCCAGATGGTCTGCCTCATTTTCATTACAACCTGTTTGGGAAAACAACAAACAACAAAAAAAAAGAATTGGAAAGCTGAAAATAAGCAATGTGTACATGGACAAAAAACTCCTAAGATATAATATTAACATATTTCCTTCCATTGCAAGATTACAACATTATTATCACATAATGGTAATGTACTATATGCATAATATGAAGAAAATGAGTCCTAGACATATTCCAGACAAGTGGAAGGACTGGATGTTTGTTCCCTGCTACCTATTTATTTCTAAAAATGTGAAAGTAGAATATAATCTATAAGATATCCTAATATAAAATAATAAAATATAATTTAAAAAACAAAAATGAACATAACAGAGTAAGAGAATAGTATGTGTTTTTTAATATAATAGTAACCCTGAATCACTTGCTGTGACCCAAATGCAAGAATAAAAAGCAGACCTTTACATGTTTCATAGAAATAGTCTGGACAAGGGGCACAACATGAGAAGAACCACACTTTATTTTGATGCATGCTTTACCCCAAACATGGGAAAGTAAAAATTTTATAAAAATTTAGAGTTATAACAAGGTGGAAAATCCTAAGGATCTGATTTACTGGCCAATTTGGGGAAACTAGGCAGGTCCTGATCAGTATATCTGGAATGAGGACTAGTAGGCAGCAGAGTTTGGGAAGCCCTTTGTGAAGGAGATGGAATGTTGAGATCATCAACTGATAGAGGATGTAATGTTGGGGGTTCTCTAAGTTGCAATTTCCTCATATGGGCTTTCCCTTTGAACTGTGAAGAAAAGGGTGAAATCTTCATTTTGTTAGATTTTTTTCTCCATTAAATATGGCATGGCACTGTACAGCAAACAAAACTGATTCCTTCCTAGATTCTCAAAAAAAGGGTTTTCAGAAGTGAGGTGCCATGACAGAGAAGGTCCTCCCCAAGTCCCCATGTAAAGCTCTTATGACAAAACATGGGTAGGCAAATACACACTAAGAGAGGCACTCCAGTGCCCAAGTATCAGGGCTTCATACTTTGAATGTCATTATTAAACTACATTTTAGAAGCCCAGGAAGCTACTAGAGCTCCCTTAGCTGTCTGGCTACTCTACTCAGTATTACCTGAAGCTTTCAAATAGTTCAAGGGCAAACTTACACTGCAGTCACCTAACCAGAAAATTACCAGAAAATGAATTACAGACAGTCCTTATTCAGCAACTAACTACTCATTCAGCAACCATTCAAAATTATGACAGTGCTGAACAAAGGGTTTTATGACTATTCCTTGTGGCTATTACAGTGTCCCCACTGTCACGTGGTCATGATTTGGGTGTTTGACTACTAGCTTGCAATGACAATCGCCACAGCATCCTGTGGTCATGTGATCACTGTTTGTATCCCTCTCTACCAGCTTCTAACAAACAAAGCCAATGGGGAAACCAGCAGGAGGTCACAAATAGCAATTACATGGCCACAGGTATTGCAACTGCATGGATTTGCCTAACAGAACTGTAGTAAGTTGGCATAGCCACATGACACTGTGCTTTACAACTGCATCATTTAGTAATAAAATTGCCAGTCCCAATGACTGTCCTTAAGCAAGGATTACCAATAGAAGTACAAGGCCATCCCTACTAAAGAAAAGGTCAGCTAATTGTTCAGTTGCAAACTGGCCAAATATATTATGATCCATTAAGGCCACTTAGATCTTTGAGTGATAGAAACAAATCTAGAGGAATATAAATACTATTTATGCTTCTGCTCCTCCAGGAAGAACAGAAGTCTATCCAAAAATGATACTTACCCAATTCCGGACACATGAGCCATCAATCCATAGCATCTCTTTCTGAATTGAATTAATACAAGAGAAGGCATCTAGCACCCTCCAGATCTTCTGGACTAAAATTCCATCGACCTCTTACTGTTGGCCATCAGAAAAAAAAGTAATGTATACTTTTTCCTGATGCATTTATTTAGCATAGAATATTTTTTGAGATGCAGAAGCGTTAAAGTTGGTATGGGTAAATAGTTTTCACCAGCACAATGCTGAATTGGAAATGGTATGGTGTGGAAATCTACTGCTTCATTCAGCATTAGTTCTAAATGATAAACCAAATAACGGGATGAGTGATGATTCAGTAAAAATGCAAAAGCAGCCACATGGCTGTTTCCTTAAAACATACATTAATGCACCATCTGCTAAGGATGCCTGCCAACTTTTAGTCCTTTTACTTTATTTTTAAGACAGGTTTCTCTAGGACAATAAGGAGGCCTTTCAAATTTTCTTTATTGTCCTTCTGACACTTTGCTCAGCCAACTCTGAGGAGATTATTAAAGCTACTGCCTATTAGCTGCTTCCTTTATCCAAATAGACATGGATGCTGTGCAGCAGAGAAAAGCTTGCAAGAAAAGAAATCTACTTCTATTTTTTTCTTCATCATCACTTTTCTTCTGTAATTGTCATCAATCTAATTTCTCCATAGAAAGAATACTAGCTCTACAATTGTGTATTACTGGATTGGGCTCACACTTTCTTTTCACCTACACACATGAAGAAAAATCAAATCTGGAGCAGCCCATGCCCATCCTGAATAAAGCAATAAAAAGCACGTTCTTATTAGATATTTAGACTACATCTTTAATCCGTTTGGACCAAAGGCACAATGGTATGATATCATCTTAGTTTGCGTCCAAAAAGCAAGGAGGAAGATCCACTTCAGAGAGTTCCATCGAGTGGGAATTGCATGTATTTTGTTCCATGCTGCATCTACCACACAAGGAGATGGGGTATTCAACAGAGCTCTTCTCAACAACCAGACTTAGCGTAAAGATTTGATTTGGGCAAGGAGCCTGATATGTGTCAGAGCTTCTCTCAACAGGGCTCTAGAGGTTATGACTAGCACTTTGAATTGAGTATGGAAACTACAAGTAACCAGTGCAGTGATTTCAAATTAGATGTAACTTCACAGTGGCTATCCCATCAGTAGTCTAACTACAGCATTTTGTTCTAACTATAGCTTCTGGGTCATCTCCAAAAGCAACCCACAGAGAGCACGTTCCTGTAATTCAGCCTCTAGGCAGACATAAATTAACATTGCCAGAACATCCTGAATCATAATTATCTGGACCATAACCAACAGTTATGGACCATAACTAGCATACCAGATGAACCTGGATGAAATCCCCCTAGTTACAACTTCTATTTGCTGCTTGAACAATAGCCACAAGTCCAGGAAGACCTTTGCACCACAGACCTCCTTCAGGAAAAGCATGACCTCATCCAGGATTATCACCAGTCCCCAGGTGTTTATAATGAACAGCAGCTCCATGGTGGAGAGAGCACTAGGATTTTGTTTTCTCATGTAGAAGGTGTGCTTTCTGCCTTCTGACTCAAGCCTGAGCCTTGGTACTAAAGTGATAAATTCTAACTGTTAGACTATTAAGAACAAGCAAATTAAGAGGTAATATATGATGAAAACACATTTTTATATATGTAGTTCCTGCTGGAAAAAAGGACGGAACAGTGTATGAATCCAATAATCACATGTTAGGAGCCACTTTAGCAGCAAGTGGTGGTTTCTTTTTATTTCATGCTTCAGTACGTATGGACGCTATAGCTCTGTGTAAACTCACTTTTATATAGATTTATGTTCTACTTTAGCTGTACCATCGCCATGAATCCTCAGCAGGATTAGATCATTGAGAAAAGTGTAAATTGTAGACCATTGACTCTTGGCTTTTTAGCTGTTACTAACATTGCAGCTGTAGTTGCGCAGATAAAAATGAGCCAGTTACCTAAAAAAAATAAGAAGCTTTCTAAAACCCTGATTTTATGAAAAGAATCCCTGTGGGGATCAATAGGACTCAGAACTATCAATGCATTCCATACCAGAATACAAGTAAATTTCTTTTAATTATTAAGCATGAAATGTGTATCACTTTTCAGGAATGATTTAACAAAACTACCATCATGCAGGAACAGAATAAACTTCCCAATAGGTGGCTGGAATTCTTTCACAAAGTATAGCTATTCCCATTGATGGAAAACATAGATTATATTATACACATTACATCAATCCATGGAGACAGATTTGTGTGTGAGAGAGAGGGGAGGGGGGATGGAGGGAGAAGACAATGCATTTTATGACTGCATTTGCTTTCTATTAAAAGAAAATAACAGAACTGAAATACTGTTTTCTCAACTACATTGTAAAAGAATATCCAGCAAATGCTGGTTTAATGGATTTATAAATTTATTTCACCACTCCCACCTAACAAGTATTTTCGGTGAATATAATAAAAATAATTTGGAAAAATACTAGGGAGCCAGAGATAACAAATGTTTTTGTGTAAGTCTTTTTTCAGCAGCAGAAAGAGATATTTAAAATCACATGAGAATTATTTTTAAAAGAAGATAATTCTATTAAGTGGGGGAGGGGTTTTTAGTATTTGACACATTTTCTCATCTGAAGGCCAAAAGCATGGTCCTCAGAAAGAAAACTAAATATAAAAATAGTTATACCCACCAAATATATTTGGATTACAACTCTATAGCTCCTAGTATTTCTAGCAGTTCATTAATTTCATGCTTACTGGGAACTACTGACATTGTAATACCATTACATTTAAGAAAGGGCAAGATGAAAAAAGTTCTTTTAGTTCATTAATTTTTGGAAGATGCCTATGGTTAGGCATCAATTGGTTCTGAACCTGAATCAAATGTGGTTCTTCTATACTTTGTACAGAACATCTGTTCTCAGTTAGCATTTGTAGTCTTTAAATCATTCTTGACTTCTGGCAAGTATATGGAGAAATTCATGCAGCATTCTTGGAAATCTTACCATTGCATTTTTCCCAAGGCTAGGAAGAGGTTACCAGCCTAAAGACATTTCCATGGTTAAGGCTGGACCAGAACCCAGATTTCCCAACTCCCAGTTCAGTACCTTAACTTACACCAAACTGCTCAAGTTCTCTTTTACATAATGTGCATTGTGTTGTGACATGATGCTCCTGATTACATGAGGAAGAATTACCAGTGA